CAATTAACTACTACATAAGTAGTGCACTGTAAACCGCTCTGAGACCTGTTAGGGGTCATGGGCGGTATAGAAATCGAAATGTAAAGTAAAGTAAAAGTAAAGTTAAAAACTGTGAGCTAGCTCACACTAACTCAGCTTAGAGGGAACACTGCTTGTGCAGGATGGGGGCTTTTGATTGCCCCGAATGACTGTGTGAACCTTGCCAGGGAGGCCAATGCTAAGCTTGAGCTTCAGGCTCAAGAGCTAGATAAGCTGCGGGCAGAGAATGTTGTTCTGCTTGTGGACCAATTAGAAGAGGCCTTCGCCCGTGCTCAGGCTTCTGAGCAGAGAGTTGCCGTGTTAGGACAGCAGCTCACCCAAATCCAGCATGCAGCTCAGTATCTAGCTGCCCAAGCAAAAACTCGGCATGCTGAAATTAGCCATGAGGCATGCCATAAAGAGACAGAGTCCCTGAAACAGCAGCTAGGTCTTCAGAGAGCCCAAATAGCTTCAGTTCACCCAGAGTCTCTCCCAGACCTCCCAAGGCCCGCTCCCTATGAGCCCTTGCCGGAGGATGCAGTCCCCAAAGCCCCTGATAATGCAGACTGGGGAAACTCAGTCCCCCTTCACCCTGTTAAAACAGTAGAAAAGCGAGCTGTTAATGGACGTGTAGAGTGCCAAGACATCCAGGAAAAGATCCCCTAGACTGCCACCGAAGCAGAGGCCACAGCCAACGAGTTGGGTCCGTTTAACAAGGACACTGGAATCGCATAGCTTATAGCTGTCTCTCATTCATACCCCACTGCAAATGGAGCAGACCTAACACAGCTAGCAAAGCTTTGCACATCTGGTGTGGTTGCCCCAGTCTCAGGCATAGCAACTAGGGATCTCACCTTTTTTCCAGATGATGCAGTGGATGAGGGAAATCGTGCCGCTCGTTTGGCCCACCCAAACTGCGGACATGCTATATGTCATGGAGCACCAGGCTCCAGGTGAAAACCCCAAGGCACGTGTCGTTCATAAAAAGCTCCTCAGCACTGTTGCCAGGAAAGTCACTTAAAATTAGGGCACCTATCATTATGATGAGGACAACTTTAAGCAGATGCTTTATGCTGGCCTTAATTCACAAATTAAAGTAACCTTAGGACCATTAGAACTAATAAACCTCACATGAAGGGAGCTTTCAGGTAGGGTCAGGAAAGTCAGAGACCTTTTCCAGGAATCCGGAGCCCTTAAGACACCAGCAAGGA